TCAAATTAAAAGAGTAACGGCTACAAATTTTTTAGGGGTTTTTATTGATGAAAATCTGACATGGAAAAAACATATTGAAAACTTATCCTCTAAAATTTCCAAAAGTATAGGAATACTATTTAAAATAAGAACCATGCTAAATAAACATACTTTAATTCAGCTTTACCACTCTTTTATTCATTGCCATCTAAACTATGCTAATGCGGCTTGGGGTAGTGTAAGGAAAACTAAATTAGAACCACTTTATCGCCAACAGAAACATGTTGCACGACTTATTAATTTTAAACATCGATTTTATCATGCTAAGCCTCTTTTAAACGAAATGAATATTCTTAATATATATCAACTTAATATTTTTAATGTATTGTGTTTTATGTTTAAATGTAAGTCTCGCACATCTCCAATTTCTTTTCACAATTTACATTCTTTAAAAGTTAAAAACAAATACAATTTGCGTAATGAAAATTTTATTCTTCAACCAGTTTTCAAAACTAATTTTGGTAAATTTTGTATTTCATTTAGAGGAGCATTTTTATGGAACAAAATAGTGTTAAAACTTTTTGATCTCTCTCTTGAATGGAACTTTTTCTTATTTAAAAGAAAATTAAAAGAAATTCTTTTCTCAGTTGAAAACATTCTGATATATTTTTAAGTTTGTTTTGTTTTTTATTAATACTCTTAAGAAATATTTTATTGTAATTTATATATACGAAATCTTTTATCTTAACTTATATATATATGTATGTATATGTATATGTGTGTGTGTGTGTATATGTGTATGTATATATGTGTGTATGTATGTATGTATGTATATATATATATGTATATATGTATATATGGATATATGTATATATATATATATATATGTATGTGTGTATGTATATTTATGTATGTACGTATATATGTATGTGTATTTGTGCGTATTATATGTATGTGTATATATATATATATTGATGTGTAAGTATATTTATTTACATGTTTGTATGTTTAAATATGTATAAATAATTATATTTGTATTTATGTGTGAATATTTGTCTATGAATTATTAAAGGATTATTTATTATTTAAAAACTGTTTAGGCGGTTCTCGATGACAAGATCTTATGATCTTCTGCGAGTATCCGCGTTCTTGTTGTAACGTTAACAAAATTGTAATTCTGACTATACGTATTTTATTCATTCTTATATTGTAAAACTTATTTTGAATAAATAAAAAGAACAAAAAAAATATATATATATATATATATATATATATATATATATATATATATATATATATACAGTAATATAATTTTTTATTAAGTTAATAAACTTTTAATAAATAAAGTAAATAGATAAATTAATTTTTTTTTTTTTTTTTTTCTTTTTTTTTTTTTTTGTTACTTGCTAATTTTTTTTAAATAAAAAATTATTTTTAGTTGTGAAGCTGCATTATTTTTTAAGAAAAAAAAAATTATTTTAAGAAATAAAAATTTAACACATTTCAATATGTTGACACTTTTCAATGAACAATACATTTCAATGAACAACACATTTCAATGAACAATAGTTCCTTTAAACATCAGCCTAATGTGAATGAGATACCATAAAATTCTCATAAAATTGTCTATTTTTTAAAAGACATTAACTTTTTTTTAAAATACTGCAATAATATTAATTACATTTTCTATTATTGCTATTAGAGAATGTTTATTTTCTTTTACTGTTGTCATATTTGAGCTGGTTCTTCTAATGATGCTTTTTCTCTTCTATTTAAAATGTGATTTTGGATAAAGTACCGAAATCACATTGTAAACATAGTCTAATCTACCCTGCCAAGCTTGAGTCTATCCCATCTTTGTAAAGTTGCATCTCTTTCTCTTTTATACAAATATTTTCATAGTCGCTACTCAAAATGCTATTATCTCTAGTTCTATTAATCAAAACTTTTGTTTGTCTCGTCATTCAGTTGATTCTCATTTTATTTATTGTTTCTGTCCCTCCATGCTCTTAAAGAACATCTTGTTCTTTAAGAGCATGAAATTCTAAAAGTAAATGATTTGTTTAAACAGTGTTAAAAACAATGAATGATGCTTTTATAGCAAATTAATTTGGTAGACCAAAGCAAAGTAAATAATTTAACAAATGAATATGTAACAGAATCAAATATGTAATAGAATGGATTGTACTTAATTCAATAGAAAAATGTTTCAATAAAATGTTCATAATTGAAACACGCTACAGTTGTTTCTATAAAAAAATGTATTACTGTTTAGGAAAGCAGCTTTATTAAGACCACAATAATTAAATATTTCAGTTGTTGGTTTTTCCTCCGATTAATTTTTACTTTTATTTCAGGTTAGATTTAGTTATTAAAGGGACTATTAAGACCCGAGACATGTTGTGTTCATATTAAAGAGAATGTTAAAAAAAAACATCTGAGCAAATTTTTTTTGATTAAAACTAATTAATAAACCAAGAAAAACAAGTGTTGTTTTAGTCGAAGCTCGTCTTCTCTGTTTTCTCTGGTATTTTGAGTATGTAAAATAAATGCGATTTTTTAGGCCCATTAAACAGATTTGATAGTTTATTCAAGCCTGTTTAATTCATAGGAGTTTAAGTGCATTTTTTAACATATTCTTTAATATGAACACAACATGTCTCGAGACTTGGTAGTCTCTTTAAAGTTTTTTTATTTAAGGTTTATTTAAAGTAGATGTGATTCAATAGACAAAAATACTTTCATTTTTATCTACAAATAAAATCTATAACTATAGATATTTTTAATTGTCTTATCCATTGCTGTTTTTTATTATTTTGTAGGAGAAAGGTATTTTCTTATATATATATATATATATATATATATATATATATATATATATATATATATATATATATATATATATATATATATATATATATATATATATATATATATATATAAATACATACATACATACATACATACATACATACATACATACATACATACATACATACATACATACATACATACATACATACATACATACATATTAATGAGGCTTTATAAAAATCATTTCAAATATCATGTCAAGGACTAAACTGTTTATATAAATATTTTTTGAATTTGCTGAAAAGTTGAAAAAATTCTCAGCTTAGCTAAGCAAAGTGTGGGTATATTACAAAATTTGGCATTGCACCATACTTAATAACGGAATACTGTTACCACCTGTTTTTGTAATATCGTTTGATGATTCATTTAATCAGACTATGCTAAAAAGTCAGATGGACAATATTGTATGATTCTGGAACCATCCAAATAGAAGAATGGAAAATACCATTTTTTACATAAACATTTACATAAAATTTTCATCATTAAAGTTGTTCATTAACATTTTCTTTCAGAGTTTTTAAAAAATTTTCTGCATAATTTTATTTTGTCCAAGGGTTATCCTTTTTTTGGATATTTCTAGAATTCTGGGTATTTTTCTCAATGCTTTTTTCGAATAATCTTAGTTTAATCTTAGTTTTCATGTCTAAATGCCTAATGTCCAATTTTATATATAAAAAATTTCATTTTTTTGCTGGACATAATTAGGTTCTATTTGTCAGAAGTGGTTTTGGGAAGTGATCAGGTGCTTGGTGGATTATTTGATGACTTTAGGTTGTATTTTTTTTGTATCTTTTATCCAGTTTTTTGAAGATATATTTTCTGAAGATAAATGTGGTTATTACTAATATCATTTGATATAATGTTTTCAGCATTGTTGCTATTTTCTTTTTAAATGTCATTTTTTGAATTTTTTAGTTTTTTATGTAAACATTATTTATCTAAAGTAGACTTGATAGAAAGGTTTTTTTTTTTTTTTTTTTTTTTGCCCATTTAAAATCTATGCTATCTTTGTCTTCATTGTTACATTCTTCATATCGGAAAATCAACTTTTAGAACTTCACTTTTTGTGTGTTTGTTGATAGAATTTGTGACCTCAGTATCTACATTATTTAATGATGGAAGAAAGTTTTCTCTTAATATTTAAAGAATTTTGCATTCAGATTTGAGGCACTGCAAATCAAACTTTTCAATGGCATTTGATCTGTTTACATACAATAAAAGTTATTGCTTCTGAACTTACTCGGTATATAAAGTGGTTCTTGGTGTAAACAATCGTTATAGAAATTTAGAAGGCTTGTTCGTCTGGTGTGCTTGTAACAAAGATATTCATGTTTTTCAAGAGATTTTATGAAATACCTTTAATGTTAGTATTTAAATTTTAAGTTTGCTTTTTCTACGTTATCATTTGAGTTATTTTAATAATGATAATTGTTTAAACTATATCTAAGATTTAATTCAACAATTACTTTTATTAAATTTTAAAAATTTTAAATATGATATTTATAATTTTAAAAATTATAAAAAAGATATTTATAGATATTTTTTTAAATATCAATAAGCATCAAATGCTTTTATTTGTCATAACCATCAATTAAAGAATTTTCTGCATGATTTTTATTTAAATTATGTTTTTTTACACCTGTATCTCAACCAAATGATGATCTTCAAATTAATATATCTAATTGATGCTTGATGATTATTTATGTTTTACTCTAGTGAAGAGATAACTTTAACCGTTATGGTGAGCCATAACTTTTGGTTGGTTAAAAGTTGGTCAGAATGAATTAACTATTTGTATAATTCTACATAAAAAAAATTTGTTTAAATATTGGCATATGTATGTGAAGGATTGATATGGTTTAAAAACCTCCTTTCACCATTTTTTTTGTTAGATAAAATAGTCTACAAAAATTATTGGCAAACTTTATGTTTAAATTTGAAAACAAATTATTAGCAGTATATCTTATTAAAGTATATTGATAAAGTCATGATGCGTGTAAACATATTGTCCTTTTATTTAAAGGTATATATGCTGCTTTATGAGGAAAAATGTTAAATTAAAGTTATTGTATTTTAATAGACAACTTGTATTTCTTGTGGTAATTTTATGAATTAAATTGATTGTAACTTTTAATATTTCTATTTAGATGATATCAGAGAATATTATGCATGATTGTGTAATCAAGCTTCTTAAATGTGAAAAAGTAGAGTCAGCAGAAGACCAATTAGAATGTTTGTGCATACTTCTTGCAACTATTGGTAAAGATTTGGATCATCCTAAGGCTAAAGTTAGAATTTTAAATTTGACTTTTTTTTTATATTGTTGCTATAGAGACTTATCATTTTTAGTAGAGTTATTAAGTTTATGTCTGTTATGTTATAAGTTGATGTTTAGTTTAGTATTAGTCTTGCATGGTAGTCAGAAAGTTTTTCCCATAAACTGTAGTTTTAAAGAGCACGCTAATAAACCAGACCAGAAAAAGTTTAAAAACTTAAATATATATTTTTTTTAAATGATAGACTGCCTGCCCAAACCAAACCCTCAGTTGATGTAGCAGCACTCCCTTGCGAGTCAGGCTATAAGATAGTCGATGTAGCACCACTCCCTTGTAGCAGCAGGCTATAAGATGCAGCAACACTCTGCGCATGTTTTAAAAAAATATTTTAACAAAACATCAACAAAAACACCATTAATTAAAAAATACTTTCTAGTCATTAATATTGCTGCTTTTTTAAAAAACAATAAAATTTAATGTACTTCCGCATTAATTTAATTGCTTTGACATTTCGATGACAATAAAATCCATTTTAAGAGACTAGGTAAAAAAATTGTAGTTGAAAGAGACTTTTTTTTTAACCATAAAAGTCTCTTTCGACTACACTTTAAGGATATATATATATATATATATATATATATATATATATATATATATATATATATATATATATATATATATATATATATATATATATATATATATATATATATATATATATATATATATATATATATATATATATATATATATATATATATATATATATATATATATATATATATATATATATATATATATATAAACAATTTAAAGTGTATTCTACAAAAAGAGTGCTCAATGTTCTTAAAAGAACGGAGCAATTACAAATTAGTAGAAAATCACTCAGCAAAATTTTTTCTCATTTAACACTGTGTTTCATCAATAAAGACTCATCAGATTTTTCTGATGAGTCTTTATTGATGAAACACAGTGTTAAATGAAAAAAAATTTTGCTGAGTGATTTTCTACTAATTTATATATATATATATATATATATATATATATATATATATATATATATGTATATATATATATATATATATATATATATATATATATATTTACATGGTTAACCTTAAAAAAGTTGTATTTTTTTTTCATTTAAATATTAAATTTTAATCTATTTTGTAAATATCAATCACTCTTAAACTGACTAAGAGCTGTTTTAAATCTAACAGAATAAAACACAACTTTCTCATTTTTTGGAAATATTATAGAATTTATTCTCTACTAATACATAATTGTAACTTATATATTTTTTTCTTTTTTGTGTGTGTAACTGTAGCTGACTGTAATTAAGTTTGTATTTACAATATTAAGTGATTTATTAGTGGGAGAAGGGAGGGGTGTTTATTCAACAGTTTTAAAAATACTTTTCATATGTTAGTGGAAAAATCTCAAACACTTTGAGGTCGGCATTGTTGAATCTCAACCCTAAATCCCAGAGTTGTATATACAATAAATTATCAATTAGTTTTTTGATAGGCTTATAAATTTTCAGAGAAGTTAAATGACATCTAGAAAATTCACATTTTCAAGTTGATGCTTATTTTAATTTGAAAGCCAATATTTTATCTTTTTTAATTTTATTGAGCTCTGGACCAGATTTTTTACATACTAATATTAAACTATCATCTCAATGAAACAATCTATTAATATTGATTATTTGCTTAATAAATTTAAAATAACTCCAGCAAATTCACAAATATTTCTACTCCATCATAACTGCCCATAGTTACATTAAAGCAGTCATGTATGTTTTTTTATTTCCAGTGTTTCCTTTTAAATTAAGTAAAGTTTTTCTGCATTGTTTTTTATATGAATTGTTTTTTCTGGATTAACTGTTTGAGTTTTTCAAATTTAATTGTTTTATTTAAAATATTTGCAGACTCTAATGCAGAATACATTTTTATATTATATTTTGCCGTTAAAATTTTTTATGTTCTCTATTAAAGTAGCCTGTAATCATCTCAATATTAGACATGCAATTATTTAAAGTTAATTGATCTTTGCTAGAAAAACATAATTTAATGGATTATATTTTTCTACTTCTTTCTCATCTAAAGATTTTTATAACATGAATTAAATATTGCATTTTATATATAACAGCTGAATTTTTCAGCATATTGAAAATTTCTGAAAATTTCAGCATATTGTATGACTTGACTTTTGAACTTTAGAAAATACTTTTTTTTTTTACTTTCTAATTCTTGTAAAATCAGGATGATATATTTATGTTTTAGTTTCGTATCGATCAATATTTTGCTCAAATGAGCAAAATTATTGACCGTAAAAAGATATCAACTAGAATCAAGTTTGCTATCAAAGATATCATTGATTTGCGTAGTTGTAATTGGGTACCACGAAGAGATGATAGCAATCCAAAAACAATTGATCAAATACACAAGGAAGCAAAAGATGAAGAAAAAGAAATAGAAAAAATGAGACAACAGGATAAAATGAGACCAAAAGAAAGAGGATCTCAAAGAAGTGTGTTGAAATTTGCCTATTTATTTATTAATCTAATTTTTGTGACAAATAACTGTTGTTTAGATTTTTTTTTTTTTTATAGGTATTGGGCATAATAGTCCTGCTATGCGTGGTGGTGTAAGTGGGCCTCCTTCATCTGCTGATGGCTGGACTAACATCCCTTCAAAATCTAAAAATTTTCCTGCTACTCCAGTTGATGCGAGCAAGTTTAAAATTGCAAAGGTTGTTTTTATATACTTTTCTTAAAAAATTTTTTTTTTCAACCGTTTAATTTTTTTTTGTTTTTTCACTTAGTTGACTTTTAAAAATGTAATATTTATATATATATATATATATATATATATATATATATATATATATATATATATATCAAGCCTTCCCAGGAAAGGCGTGCGGTTTTTTGTCTCTTATGACCACACACGATTGTAATATTTTAGAAAACGTGAACACTACCGTTTGCAAGTTTTATAATAATGCTGAAAAAGTTTCAAAGACAAAAAAACAAAACTAACAAAATATAAAGAGATTGAAATAGAAAAAAATAAAAACAAATTAATAATTTATATAATTTGTGTACTGTTTTTATTTTTGTTTCTTTAGAGTTACATTCAGCAACAAAATTAGATAAAGCAAAGCAAAAAAAAAAACAATTTTAAGTCTACAATAATAAGAATGATTTTCCTTTTCTTAATTTTTTTTAGGATAGCAAAAATACAAATTGCAATGTGTTTGTAAAATTTATTTGTATAATGTTAATGTAACAGCAAGGGTTGAATTAAGCAAATGCAAAACGCAAAATCTGGAAAAATATTTAGTATTCAAAATTTTAGTTTATACAAAACGTGTTCCTTGTTTTTAAGGGGAGAATCAACTTTAATTTGTTAGCAAAAAAATAAAAAATTAAACAATAAACTTACGATTACAAAAGTAATAACACTCTAATCACTAACTGCATTCCAAAAGTAATAACACTATAATAGTGTTATTACTTTTATAACGCACTTATAACTTTTAAAATTCTTTTTTTTTTTTTTTTTTTTTTTTTTTGCTATGACTTAATGAATTTTTTTGCCGATAATAATAACCACTAAGAAAAAACAAAATTAAGGCTTAATATATATATTTATTTAAGTTTAATTTAATAATATAAACTTATATTATTTTTGTTTAGAAAGATGACTCTGAAAATATATTTCTTGGACAATATATCTCTTGGTTTGTTAATGAAAATATATCTCTTGGTTTCCGTTCTTCTTGGTCCAGGGGAGCTAGTGGTGGAAGCAGTCGTAGTATTTCTGGTGCTCCTGCATCTGTTGAATCTGTTCAGAATAAACAGGCAAATCGTTATGATGTTCTTAGTGAACAAAATCCACCATCAGGTGTTGACAGCAAGCGAGGGTATTTTTTTTTTTATATTTAGATAAGCTTTTTATTATATAGATTAATATACATTTTAAAATTATGGTTAACATTATTAAATTTGCAACTAGTAACTTTAAAAAAAAATAATAATAATTGTAGCTTAGAAAATAATGCTATTTTAATTAGAAAATGATTCTATTTCAAAACACCAAATATTCAATTACTAATGAATTAATAAATATTAATTTGATGAAGTTTAAATATAGCTTAAGGTATAGCTTAAGGTAAGCAGAAAAAGTGAGCAAATGCTTATCAAAACAGGCTTTAGTAAGTGTGTGTGTATATATATATATATATATATATATATATATATATATATATATATATATATATATATATATATATATATATATATATGTATATATATATAGACACACACATACATACATTTATATATTAATAGTTTAAAGCATAAAAGGCAATCTTTAACTGTTTCAAGACAAAAAATAAAAAATCTGAAATCCTCAATTAGTTCACTAATTATAAATTATTTTAAAAGATTTGTAAAATTGTAATCTTTGTTCATTTTTTAATTCCATTAATGTTTTTTAAAATAATATTTATATATACCATCAACATTTATATTTTAATATAAAACAAATATATAATAATTTATCTACATTTGTTATATACTGTTAATTATTTAGTTTTTATTTTTTTAGTTTATTTAATTTTTATATTTTAATTTACATTTATTTGAAAAAAAAATTTGATATTGGTTATTCAAATTGAATCCCAATCCAACTAGGTATCACTCAATGTTTGTATATAAAAATATTTGTCTACAATTTTATCTTATTTACCTAATATTCACAAATTTTTAAATATTAAATTTGCCTATTTAGGATATTTTAATCTAATTTTCAACAAGTTATTTTTTGAAGAAATAAGTTTTTCTTATTAGAGTGGATAAAAAAAAATTATATAAAGTGCCTAGTAATATCTCTTAATGTATTCTATAAAACAATTAGCAGAAGTCGTGGATCAAATACTTCACGGAGTTCAGGTGGTAAATTTTTTTAATTATAATTCTTAGTGGTATTCTAAGACCCTTGAATATATACAGGGTCCTTAATGTTAATAATTTCTTTAAAAGTAAATCAACCAGGCACTCAAAAGAAGTAAAGTTTTAAAAAATTACAAATTAATTTTTTTTTTTCCCTCTTCAAAAATAAAATTAGTTTTTATGAAACAAATTATGAACAGACAGAGTTTTTAAAAAATTTGTAATTTTATTTTATTTCTTTTATTGCATAAAAACTTTATCTTAAAAATTAGAAGTCGTGGATCAAATACTTCACGGAGCTCAAGTGGTAAATCTAGTCGTGAAGATCGCAGTGCTGCAATTCGTGCTGTTCAGGATATAACTACAATGAAAAACCAGTTTTCTAAACACAGTCGTGATAGTCCCCGATCTGGTGCTCAAACTCCTGTTGAAACAATGGATGCAGCTGCAGATGTTGATTCTACTGTAATAGAAATCTCTGAAGAAGACATGAGAAAAAAGACAAAATCTACAATAAATGAATATTTAAGTATAAGAGATACAAATGTAAGTTTTGAACATTTTTCTAATTAAAAATTTTATGGTTTAGGTTGTTGTAGTTAATATCACCTTCTTTTTGCTTTTAGTTATTCAAGTGGCTAGTTAAAAGTAACATTTGTCTTAATATTAAATAATATTTATTTTAGAATATTTTCAGTTAAGTAATGTGTGCTTCATAAAATATAAGCTCAAAGTATACTAAGAAGCTTTTAATTATCTAGTTAATTGTTTCATCTCTAGTTTAAAAACTTTTTTTAAGTGCTCATGTTGGGCTAGTATCTGCCTATTATCTATTTATTATCTGTTTTAAAACAAATATTTTCAGTAAAATTAAATAATAATTTATTTTTTTACTATAAAAGATCTTAATTGCAAATAAAATCTTTTTACACCTAATCTGCTAGACTACTTATGTACACTGCTTTTTTATTTAAATCTTTTAGCATGATATCATAATTTGCAATTTGTGTCACTTTATATCTATTGTTATTATATTTGTTTATACTCAATTTTATTCAATCTTATATTTATATATTTTGATTGATTTAGGAAGCTATAACTTGTTTAAAAGAAGTTAATTGTTCATATCTTCATTACATGTTTGTTGAAGAAGCTATTACAATAGTTATAGAAATGAAATCAGAAGAAAGAAAGTCCATTGGAGCATTGCTTCATGATATGATAATTAAAAATGTAATAACTGTTGATCAGTTATGTAAAGGGTAAGTTAATCTTCTTTAATATACATGTATGTGTATCTGTATATATATACATATAAAGCTTAGCTAGAGTCAATGTGTACACAAGTAGTGAAAAGCCATTCTAAAATATCCTTGGTAAGCTTGAAAAATTACTTGATTTAAAACAGCTTGTAATATCATGGACCATTTACACTAACTTTTTTAATGTTTTAATAAAAGTTTTACTCGCTTTTTATGGGTTGTGATAATGCCAACCTAGCTGACCCAAGAATGACATTTATATGGAAAGATAGAGTACACATCAAGGTACCATGTAATGCAAATTTCGATAAAAATTTAATTTAGATGTTCAAATCAAGTAAGTTTTTGACTTCATAGTGTCCAATAAAAACACCTAAAAATTTTTTTTTTTTTTTTTTGCAAACTTTCTATTTATTTTTTTACAGATCAAAATATTGATTTGTTATTTAAAGCATGGTACAGCCTGAGAATATATCAATATTTCAATAGCTCAATACATTCTTCTTGTGGAAATACTTTACAATACTATTTTTAAATGTAATACTAAAAATAGCTTTAAAACTAATAGCATTTAAAGGTTGATAGTGAAAATATTATAAACCATGAGCTATGATTTTCTAAAGCTATGAATTTCCGATCTCTAATAACTCAAAATAGCAGTACTTTAAAGATGCTTACTGTTTAGATCAATTATGCTCTAAAAAAGATTAGTGTTTTGCTTATACTTGAACCAATGTTGATAAAAGTCTTGTCTTGATAAGCAGTTTTGACAATTCGTTCTCTATAGGGCTCCAAGGGCGATCCTTTGTGTGTGATGAAACTGTTAATGTGGTAAATTATGTGAATTTTGGGTGTTACGTATGTACTAATAACATCATTCGAAATGTTTGATATTTCAGCAAAATCCAGCTAAAGTATGAATCCAAAGCAAGCCTTGACAACTAAATTAAAAGTTTTAAGTGCTTCAAATATGTGAACAATCTTTGGAACCATGTTTGTATCAGTAAGTTGCCTTAAGATGTCTACATTTTTTAAAAGTATTTTCTTAAATTCTAACCACATATGGGCTTTGGTAAAGGTGGAGGGCAGCTGTCTGCTTAACCAGCTTTCATCTAAGTAATTTTAAGAGTTTTTAAAAAATGGTTGACAACTCGTAAAAAGAGGTGCAATTCCATTGTTAGGACAATTCCTTAAATCAGAACAATGTAGGCCCGCATTTTAAATCTTTTGAATGACAAATGCAAACAGCTTATATTAGCAAAAATACTGCCAAGTTGCTGAAAAAACTCACGGCTAGATTTGATTGAGCCTAGCATTTGCAAGTTTCTAAATTTAAAAAGACACTTGGATTTAATGTCACGCTGTGTGCAGAGGTGCATGTTTGAATGGATTTAAAGTCCACAAATTAATATTTGTAACTTATATATCGCAAGCTAAAATTAGTTAAACTCCATTTGCATTAATCAGTGACCAGATTCATTATGGAATATTTAATATTCATTTGATTAGTTTGTGGCAATTTTTTTAAAGCTACTACAAAACTTTGTCTCTTGTCTCTTTGCCTGTCCTTTGAATTAGAGTTTGTTGTTGTAGCAGTGAGCTGGTTTCATCCCTTACAGCAGTATCAACAAAATGCAGACTGGTATAGATAAAACTAGAGAAAACATTTTCTACTGTCATTTCCTAGCTGAACAAAATAGTCGCAAGGAATTTAGGTTAAATAACATGATACGCAAGACTTGATAAATCATTGTAGTGAGCAACCCAAACTGCAAGTGGAGAGTATGCACCCTTGTTTCTAAATTTCAAAGAGCTTTATTTTAATATTAAACTCCTAAATTAATAATAACTATAAAAAAAATAACTTAAGTATTAACCTGATCTTAGTATATCTTTTAAAAGATAATTTCTTAATTGTCAAGTCACTTTCAATATATATAAAAATTATTCAAGTATAAATATTTACTGGAGGTAAGTTGTAAGTTTAGGTCTACTATGCTGTAACGCTATAGCAAGTTTAATGGTTTATTACAGAGATAATTCTTTATTGGAAATAACTTAAGATGTGATTTGTTCGACTGCTTTTGCTGATAAAGATAAATATTTGAAAGCATTTTTGGGGCAAACCTTTTTGTAAAAGACTGAGGTGTATGCCTCAACACATACTTGGTTCTTTCTCAATGGAAATTTGCTCTTCAAGAGGATGTTTCTCTAGCAGTTTTGAACGCCAAGTCGGCTGATTTTGATTTTAATTAAAAACTATTTATAATTAAAAAAATTTTAATAATTATTAAATCAAAGAAGTATAACTAGTTTATAAGGAAATTTTCTTTGATTTATAATATTTGATTTTTTTGATGTAAGAAAAGTTCTTTTTTTACATCATACTTATTTTCTTTGATTTATAATATTTGATTTCTTTGATGTAAGATAAGTTCTTTTCTTACATCATACTTATTTTCTTTGATTTATAATATTTAATTTCTTTGATGTAAGAAAAGTTCTTTTCTTACATCAAACTTATTTTCTTTGATTTATAATATTTGATTTCTTTGATGTAAGAAAAGTTCTTTTCTTACATCATACTTATTTTCTTTGATTTATAATATTTGATTTCTTTGATGTAAGAAAAGTTCTTTTCTTACATCAAACTTATTATCTTTGATTTATAATAATTGATTTCTTTGATGTAAGAAAAGTTCTTTTCTTACATCATACTTATTTTCTTATTTAAATTTACAATACTCGTCACACTTAATGACAGTTAAGGTAAGATAACCGTGTTTAATGAAACCCTGACGAAGAGAGAATAGAACTAATTATAAGAAAGTTTTTTTTTTAATTTTTAATTTCATAAAGATTGGTTTTAAAAAGTATTTTTGACTGTTTATAATGAACAGGTTATTCATATTATTAAATATGCTTAAATCTATTTTTTGTTCAATTTCGGTTGAGTCATATATTAAGAATGTCATATGAGTCAAATGTTAAGAATGTATCTCATAACTTAATGAAGTAATTATTTAACATAATTTTTATTATTTAACGTAATAGCTTTTAATGAAGTTTGTTTAACTTAACTTTTATTTAAAAATAAAAAATATTTAATTTAATAATTTTGTGAGTATCATTTCTGCTATCAATAAATATTTGACATGACATTTGATCTCGGTTACATTTAGCTGTGTATTATTTTGCAATAACTGTTTACAGTAGCTTGAGAGGATTTATGAAGCTGAATAAACTTATGACATTTTTTATATATTTTGTTGTCTTATTATATAAAGAGATATAAAAATGAGAGGTTTAGGCATTTATAAATGTTTGTTATCAATCATTTTAACACTAATTATGTCTCTGTTTAATACATAGTAAATATAATAGCTAACTATTTCTTTGTAAGAATTATTTAATTGTCTGATGTTTCTTTCAATTTTTTTTTTTTTTTTAATTCATCTTGCGTAATGTTTGGTCAGTTGTTTAAAAGTTGCATTAATGACCTAATTTAAAAAAAGTGATTATTTAGTTAATTTTAATTGTTTTGAGTTGAACATTTGTTATACTTTTAGACATCTTATTTCATACTTAATATGTATGGCTAAATGTTGGTTTTATTTGCCTGATTAAGATGTTGGTTGATTTTATTTATTTTTGGGTCTGTTTGACCATTTATATTTTATGATTACAATAAATCCTTGTCTGTTTTGTGCTACACCATTTAAAATGATTATTATCCTATGATTCTTTTCGTACACATAGATCACAAAATGTGCGTGTATTTACTATTAGTCATTTCTTTGTCAAGGCCTGTATTAGCATTTCATTGTCAATGCTCTCTATTAGCAAATAATGTTTTAGTAAGACTTGTTATGGAGTGACAAAGATAGGTTTCAGCTATTTTTATTTAATTGCTTTTTTATGATTTTTTATGTTTCAAATTCTACAACTTTCTCTTAGTTTGAAACCCTCTTATATTTGAGTACATTTATTTCAGATTATTTTGTTGTTTTTATTTTTATTTAAGTTTTGTGCAGTCAGCTTGATTGTGACACTCTTATTATAATTTTATTGCTTTCTGTTATTATTAAGTCTGTTGGTATTTGAATGATTTGTGCTAAATAAGTTTATTTCTTGTTGTGTATTTTGCTTTGTGCCTAGTTAAGCTTTGTACAGTTTAAAAATTATTTTTTATGTGTCTATATATATATATATATATATATATATATATATATATATATATATATATATATATATATATATATATATATTTAATAATATTAACTTTAAATGTAGATTAATTTTTAATTAAACCTGTAGGCTTGCATCTATTGTGCAAAATGCTCCAGATTATGCTGTTGATATACCACATTTTTATGAATATCTTGGGGAAGTGATAGGTCCCATGGTTTATGATGGTGCGCTTCCTCTAAATAGAGTCAAAGACACTTTAGAACCATTAGTCAAGCCAAACAAAGCAGGCGATGTTATGGCTGAGGCTTTATCAGTAGCTGTTCAAATTGCTGGTGTATGTAATTTTTTTTATTTATATTTAATATAGTGTATTCAACACAGGGTTTTTATACCCGAAGTATTGTTACCGCTATGCATTTTTTTATTATTTAAACACTGGTTGTCATTTTAAAATATTTCAGTAACAAAGATAAAGTTTAAGGAGAATATTTAAAATAAGTATTATTATCCTATTTTATTCTAATAAAGATTTTTTTTTATAACATAAAATTTAATAATTTTAGATTTTAAAAAAGTATACAAGAATACTAAGGCAAATACTTAATTAAAAAAATAATTTTTACATTACTTTTTGATTAATTAAGTTTTACGGTTTTTAAAATTTTAGAAAATTTACAAAAATTTTATATATTGTTTTTTATTTAAAATGTTACTATTTTTTTTTTTAAGAAATATATTTATAGGTTTTATCAGCTCTGCCGAGGTCTATTATTAAAATATAAGGATCATTCTATGATAACTTTTCAACAGTTTAAATTTCTGCTGCACACTAAACAATTGCACCTTTATATTATTTGCTCTCTATTAAAAAAATTCTTAAACTCTAAGGTATAATACTATTGTTTGTTTACAAAGCTGTATTGGATGCACCAATGTAAAGTCTATTTTTTTATATATATATAATTTTATTACATCTTTAATTTCAGAAAGAAGAATCAGTTAGTGAATTGTGGTCTAAGTCAAATATTAAATGGGAGATGTTATTAAATAATGATGAAAATGTAGATAAATTTATAAAAGACAAAGTAAGTAGATAATTATTTAAAAAGTTGACTAGTATGTTAAATTACGGGATAAACGATCGAATTCTTTAAGAAATTGAAATGTAAATATTTTATTCAATAGTTAAATATAATTTAGTCTAACCAAAATTACTTTGTTTTAGACTTTACCAGATTTGTTTTTTGTTTTAGACTTAACCAGGTTACTTTGTTTTAGACTTTCGTTTTTTAAATGGTTAACCGCATTTTATCAAAATTTAGCGGATCTTATTTCAGTAACACCCAACTATGGGGTCATTTTTTTATATTAATCTATTTTATGTTTAGAAAATGGAGTTTTTAATGAAATCAACTTCAAGTAATAAAATTCATTCAAATAATGTTCTGAAAGGTCTATTACGTATACTTCAAGAAAAAGGCGACAATAATAAAATAACATCCTATATTGATGTAAGTTCTAGTTTTAAGTTCATGTATGTATTTTATTTTTATAAATTGTTTTTTCATTTTTATGTTAACTTTTTTGGGAGAATTTGTGACCAAATAACTTGTTCACTCTAAATTTGTTGCTCGTATTTGCTTAACATGTTTGCAGTATTTTTTAGTTGTTATGAAATTGCTATTTAAATATGTTTATAGAGTGAATGTAGCAATTGTAAATCTGACCCATATTTTATAAAAAATCTAACGTCAATGATTTGCAAAAGCACTCTTGTTGAAGGTCAGTTAATTTTGTTAATCTTTAGTATTATTCTTTTAAATTAGATTTACGTTAAAGAATTGTTTTTTTAGATGCGACAAATACGCGTAGCTGTAACAAAGATGAATTAGAGAAACGTATAAATATTTTATTAAAGTATATTGATGGAAATAAAAATTTAGAATTATTTGCGTTGTATGGTATTCAGCAGCTTGTGACAACGTTACATCACCCTATAGGTAAATTTATTTCTAATTTTACTTTGGTAAATCTAATTTTTTTATATTTTTGATTTTTTTTAATTTGTTTTTAGGTCTTGCTATTGATTTATTTCAAGAATTATATAACCACGATATTATATCAGAGGAGACATTTTTTACATGGGAATCAAGTAAAGAATTCCCAGATGGAAAAGGAAATACAATTAGTTCGGTAAAAGACTTTTTATCTTGGTTACGTAAAGCTGAAGAAGAATCTAACGAAGAAGATTCTACTCAGGTTTTTAATTAGCCGAGATAATCTTTAATAAAATATTTTAGAAAAATAGCTTATAGCATGCAGGATATCGCAAATTGTTTCTATTGTTTTCATATTTAATATGGCATAAGTCCTGATTTTACTAGACTTTCTTTTGATATTATCAATCACGAGCCTTAACGTAGTCTTTTCAAATATTCTTTCGACGAATAAAACTATAAATAAACTTAGTTTTGATATTATCAATTACGAGCCTATGCGTATTTTTCTCTAACATTCTTTCGACAAATAAAACCATAAATCTATATATATTTTTTAATTTTATTTATAAACTCAAATTATTAATACTATAGAAGTTTTCTTCAAGTCCGCATGGGTGAATGTAGTTTTGAAACTTACGACATTTATTTGGATTTTTACATTTGAGCTTTCTATTTTCTCTTCTTTTTTTTTTTTTTATTTACCCTCTCGAAATAAAATATTTTATTTTTCGAAACATGTTTTTTTTATAAAGTTATTTACGACTTTTCTCTTGGACTTTTTATAAAAATGCTTTTTTTGTTTTTTTAAATCAGAACTTGAAACATTTTGCCATTGCGCTAAATAAAAAAACTGACTCAACAAGTCAGACAATTCTTTTTATACTACAGTTTAAATAACTCAAATAAGATTATATACTTGCATTTTACTATCTTATGACTAAAGTTCTTGATAAACCAGATCGCAGTGTTATAAAATAGGTTGTTACCTTAATCTTTATCTTTATCTTTTTTATTATTTATGATATACAATTTCGAATTTGCATCTTTTTTTATATTTCTGAAAGTTTTCCAAAAATATTTTGGATTTGTATTTTTTAACGTTTCGATTTTTATGTATTCTTTGTAAAAGTTTTTTATTTTGAGCATTTTTTACAGCATTGCGGAAATTTTTTCGTGCCATCCGGTATCGAATAAAAATTTACGAGTTTAAGTTTTTAACAAACCCAGTTTCCCGCCTTTTTTTAAAATAAAATGAAAGAACATTTTTACTACGGCTTAATTCGGGTGTCCACCAGGATTTTGAATACAATGACGGTGTTTTCATGGATACATATTGATTAAGGGCCTCAGATGCCGACTTTGTAATAACAGTATATACTTTGATAAGTTCCTCATCGTAATTGTCATTCGTAAAATTGTGAAAATTAAAATTATTATTTAAGCGATTGTTATATAATTGTAAAAAATCATTGTTATTCCAGGCATAATTTGGAATACTGTACTTGTCTGAGTTTTTATGATTGTTTTCTTGAGAAGATTGTCCAATAATTCCAACTTCAATCGATACTGGTAAATGATCACTCATGTTTTGAGATAAAAAAGGAATTACGAAACAATTGGAATAAAGAAGAGACGTACACTTTGAGAAAGCTATGTGATCTATGTAAGATGCGTTTGGTAATGTATTATGGTGATACGTTATGTTAGGTCCAGAGCCTTTTGTTACGTCCACTAATTCAAGTTTATTCGACTTAATAAAATTTGATAAAACTACGGAGTAGTTATTTTTCGTAGAGCTAGCTCTCTTTAATGAATCATATATTCCGTGAGGAAAAGATTGAAAGTCACCAAGGACAATAAATTCAGCAACGTCCTCGTAGTTATTAATAACACCTGAAATTATATCCAACTGACTCTTGTAATTCTCCACTGATGTTTGATTATTGCGCGACGATGAAAGATAAATGCCAATAATAATAATGTTAGTCTGATTTTTTAAGATTTATTGCGAAGATATGATCATCTTCATATAGAATAATAATGTTTTGAAACAAATGTTTCCGAATAAAAAAAGCGTTTCCGCCAAACGGTCGACCCTGCTCATGTTTGTTAGCCTGGTGGAAGAATGAAGAGTGGTTATTTTTATAGATATTTTTTATTATGAAATATTCTAAATTCGATAACCAGTGTTCACATATAAAAGTTATGTCATGAGAGAGAATCAACGATTTGGTATACTCAAAATTAGACTTAAGACCATGGCAGTTGAAAGTACATAGATTAAATGTTGTTGGAAGTTTATCTTCCTTAAAAATATTCCCTAAATCCATTTTGATCTATGAAAATCTTCCTGGTTTCCGTTAGTTTCCAGATTTTGAGATATGTTAGTATATAAACATTTTTTTCGGTATGGTTTAACTATTATATTGTTATCTCATAAAGCAGGGTTAAATATTATATTTTTTTCTGTGTTGTTTACGGTAACTTTGTATGATCTATTGTATTCATTTTCTTTATTCAACATAACAGATAATGGGGAGATTCCTATTTCTGTTTCTAGATAGTTTTTAAAAAGTTCTTTATTGATTTGATTGCTTACCCCTCCGACAAAAATGTAAAATTTATGAACTATTCTTTCTCCTGCAATTGTTTTATTTTGAGAAATTTTTGTTCCGAACACGGGCTCTGAAATTCTACGTTTTTTTACTAATGAACGATTTTGTGTTTTGTAATTAGATTTACTATTTCGGCATACTAAAGTAAAATTATTTTCATCATTGCTGGTTTGATACGTGTAGTTGTTGATCGATATTGGTTTTTTTATTTATTTTTGTGGTCAACATGGCGTCGATTTGTGGTTGATTTGTGTTTGAGTGAGTTTGAGCTACTACATTTGCGAATGTTTTTAATAGTTGCGGTTTGTATTTAACGTTTAAAAAAGACTTATGCGTTGTTTGAGTTTGATTTTTTGTAGCAGCTGGGTTGTTAATTTTATTTTCACATTGCGTATAACCATCGATTTTTAATTTAGGTATTTGACACGGCTGTAAGAGACTTATATCCAGTTCCGATTGTCTGTTTTCTATCTTAAGTTTTTCAATAAGTTTATTTTGGAAAATTATTTTTTCTTTTAAAAGTATGAGTTCTTCTTTTATTTCTTTTTGAATTTCCTTTAAGATATGTAACAACTCCTTTACAGATTTAGTTAAAAATTTATTGTTGGGCAGTGTGTCCACATTTTTTATTGAGATAATTACCTTAACAATTTCTTTATGAAGTTGTTTTTCACATAATGTGATTGAAAGTATATAAATATCTTCTAAACATAAACTTGTTTTGTATCTTTTACGAAGATTCTTTTCAACAGGATTTGTAAGGTCTAGAGTTATGTTCGCCTCACTAAATTCATCTGCACAAAATGTCTCAACGATTTCAGCAAATAGTCTTTCTCGAAGGTTTCGAATTGTGCTTTCTGAGATTGAGTTCATGCTTGCAATAACTAAGTCTTTCGGATGAGAACAAATTTCCTCAATATTTCTCAAAAAATTTTCTTCAAATGTATAAATGTCACACTTTAAATAGATAAACATCTCCTCGATTGAACGTGGTGCCATGTTGTTTTTATTGACAAATTCTTTTTCAATTTCAAGTTTTATAAATAAAGAACCATATTATATATAAAAAAAAAAAACTTTATTTATTACCAGTTATTTTTTCTCTTTAAAAAACACGTCTTGCTCTATGTAAAAAATTTCTATAGTATAATTTCTATAATTACTATAGTATCGAAGAATTATCTTGTTTTATAAATGCGTCACAAAATACTTTTTCAGCGCTGACATTAAACGCAGCATGAGCAAAAACTTTGAAAACTTTAAAGAAATGCTAAAAGACATAAGTCACGAATTTACGGTAATATGCCTTTTAGAAACATGGTGCAAAGACGAAAATACCGTAAACTCAAATTTTCAATTAAAAGGCTATAAAGCTCTCCATCAAACTCGTAGTAGAGGTACTGGCGGAGGAATATGTTTCTACATACATAATACAATACAGTTTAAAAAAGAACGCAAACTGTGAACTTTTCACGGTTGAATTAACAAACCAAAGTAAAGCAAATGCGTATATTACTGGCTTATATAGACCACCAGATGGCAATATAAAATCCTTTAAAAAACATATAATTCAGTACCTAGAACTGGCTAAAAATAAGCACTTATACATAATGGGAGATACTAACTTGGATCTTTTAAAAATAAAAACTAATAAAATGTCAAGCGCTTTTTAAATAATCTCTTACAGCACGGCGTAGAACCCTTAATAAATAAGCCAACTCGAGTAACTCTCCGAACAGCTACCCTAATCGATAACATATTTACAAATACTACCATAAAATGTAATATTCAAAGCGGAATAATAAAATCTGACATAAGTGACCATTTTCCGATATTTCTTCTGCTTAACAATTTCAACAATAAAAAAGAAAACAAAACAAAAATTACAACAAAAAGGCAAATAAATGAAAAAAGTATAACAAAGTTCCGAAGCAACTTATCAATGGAAAACTGGGATCAGGTTGTTAATTGCAAAGACACTAACACAGCTTACGATATTTTTAAACACACTTTTACAACTTTGTACGAAAAAGCGTTTCCGAAGCTTGAGCAATTAACAAAACTCAAAAACCTTAAAAGTCTTTGGATGACAAAAGGGCTTATTAAATCTTCAAAAAAAAAAAAAAAACTTTATGAAAAATTTTTGAAAAAAAAGACTTTTAAAAACGAAAAAATATATAAACAATACAAAAACTTATTTGAAAAATTAAAAAAACATTCAAAAAATTTTATTAGAAAATTATTGCGGTAACACTAAAAAAACATGGGGCGTAATAAAAGAGGTAACAGAAAAAAAAAAAAGATGCTACCAAAGTGTTCCCGCAATACTTAAAAACAGATGAAAATGATACAGTAGCCAATAAGGCAATAGGTCTTGCAGAGAAATTTAATAACAATTTTATAAAAATTGGGGAAAAACTAGCTAATAAAATAACTCGTGGAAAAAAATGTTATAAGCTGTATCTAGAAATAAAGCCTCAGTCATGAACGAGCTTGAAATAACTCCGGATGAGCTTAAAAATGCATTTAATACCTTACAAGGAAACAAAAGTCCAGGACTAGATGACATTAGCGTGAACGTTGTAAAAAATGTCTACGATATTATTGAATATCCCCTTCTGCATATCTGTAATCTGTCTTTAAAAAATGGGGTGTTCCCTGACCAGCTAAAGCTAGCAAAAGTTGTTCCTATATTTAAAAGCGGAGACGATTCGATTG